TCAATGTTGCCACGCACCAGACGCCGGGGACGTCCAGGAAACTGTAGAAACACGTCTCTAAGGCCCCGCAAGGCGTACAATTTGCACCTCGAACCGGCCGGTCGCCATACCAAGAGCCCCGTCCATGTGCGCAGTCGGGTGGCTATCCGCGCCAAATGATGCCTCGTCTGGCTTGACATTGGCGCCCATCCATCAATCGGCTAATGTGATCCGCGCAGGTGGGTGATCCCTGAGAGCTGCTTTTGCTTGCTTGCTTGTTTGCTTGATCCCCTTGGGCTGAATACCCAATCATCCTCCTTACCCACCTAGGTATTCAACTTGGACCATCCAGGACCCCCCCCCCCCCCCCCCCCCCTCACCCACCCCCATCAGTCTATGAGGTGCCGGATCGATCCTAGACGGGCGCGGTTCTATCGAGCCTCGAACCCCGTCCGCGCCTCCCCCCGTCTTTGGTACCCTTTCCTTTTCCGTCTTGCTCCATGTTGCGCCCCAGGCTTCTTAAGACGAGTAGGAGCCGGCCAACATCTCCCGTCATCTGATTATCTCCTCAGCGTCTCTTTTAGTCTCCGTCGTTCCGCGATCTTTCTTTGTCCTCTCTTGCTGATCCCCGCTCATGATGTACTCGTTGACCTCATAAGAGCACATCTGAGCTTGAGTGTCGCGACCGACCTTTTCTTGCCTGGAAGTGGCCAACCTGAACGGGCCGGTCACTACTGGGAAGTGAGTCGTTTCCTCATCCGGCCTATTGGAAGTCACCCCAAGCTCACCTCACTCGAAGAAAAAGGCAACTTTGCCCATATTCACGGCCGAACGACCACAACTCGCCTTCCGCGGTCACCGACCACTCTGTTCGGATACCTCGCTTCCGTTGGCACGGTACAACTTGAGTCTTAACTCCAGCCCGATACACCCGTCCGACTGGGTTCAAGAAAACGAGTCTTCAACATAGTACGTGCCGAACAGGCAAGCTGCAGCTACCCGACAACAACACGCTTTATCTGCACGATCCCGTCTCCCTCACCGCGTCGTGGACTTTTTCTATTCAGCTGAAGTTGCACTTCCCGGTCGGCTTCTTGCCCGCCTGCGTTTGCTCATACCACTCGTGTATCGTCGGTTCAGTACACATTCGTTAGACAAGATGGAAGACTATAGTTATCTTGTCAAGATGGCGGAGCCTGGCGACGATAATTACTGGGCCCCCAAAGATGTGAGCTTCTTTGCATCTCACATGCCCATTAACGCTGGCTAATGTATGTCTAGATTGTTTACACTGCGATTGTCGGATTGGTGATGCTGGCAGCCATCCTCGAATGGTTCCTATGGATTGCCGCATTTCTATACTGCCTGTGGAAGGTCTTCGTCAAGGCTGAGCATTGGTCCATTCGAGTATTGGCAGTCATTGTTGGCGTCTTGTTCACTTGTTTCAGGTAAGTGACGGCTGTCACGCAATCCCTTCGTACGAAGGATGGTTGAGCTCACGATCATTACCAGAGCCATTTTCCTTCCCATCATGATCGTTACTCTGCCACTGCCCAGTGCTGTCGTTAAGTACTGGCCAACGAACATGGTCGATGTGCTTCAGTGGTTCGCTTTCTGGAGTTTCGCTGGTCTTCTGACCATTCCATGGCTTTTCTGCGTCTACCAGCTTGTTACCAACCAGCTCGGAAGAACGAAGAGAATCAAGCAGGTTTTGGACGAAGTTTCGGCACCAAAAGTTGTCATCGTCATGCCCGTTTACAAGGAAGACCCGGATGTTCTCGTTGTTGCCATCAACTCCGTCGTCGACTGCGACTACCCGCCCTCATGCATTCACGTCTTCCTCTCATTCGACGGTGATCAAGAAGACGAACTTTACTTGAACACTCTCGAGAAGATGGGTGTCCCATTGACATTGGAGACATACCCCAAGAGTATCGACGTCTCATACCGATCCGCCCGTATCACCATCTCGCGATTCCCCCATGGAGGCAAACGTCATTGCCAGAAGGCCACCTTCAAGCTCATCGACAAGGTTTACGAGCATTACCTCAAGAGAAACGACAACCTCTTTATCCTGTTCATTGATTCCGATTGTATCCTGGACCCCACCTGCCTGCAGAACTTCGTCTTCGATATGGAGTTGAGTCCCGGAAACCCCAGAGACATGTTGGCCATGACCGGTGTTATCACGTCTACGACTAAGAAGCATAGCTTGATCACACTGCTCCAAGATATGGAGTATATTCATGGCCAACTTTTCGAGCGAACTGTCGAGTCCGGATGTGGCGCCGTCACTTGTCTTCCCGGTGCTTTGACTATGCTTCGATTCTCTGCTTTCCGCCGCATGGCTAAGTACTACTTTGCCGACAAAGCAGAGCAATGCGAGGATCTTTTCGACTTCGCCAAATGCCATCTGGGCGAGGATCGCTGGCTTACGCATTTGTTCATGATCGGAGCCAAAAAGCGGTACCAGATTCAGATGTGTACCTCCGCCTTCTGCAAGACCGAAGCTGTCCAGACCTACGCATCCTTGATCAAGCAGCGTAGACGTTGGTTTCTGGGTTTCCTTTCCAACGAAGTCTGCATGCTTACTGATTGGCGTCTCTGGAAGCGCTATCCCATCCTAGTTCTCGTTCGATTCATGCAAAACACTATTCGAACTACGGCTCTCTTGTTCTTCATCATGGTCCTCGCTATCATCACCACCTCCAAGAAGGTTGACAACTTGCCGGTCGGCTTCATTGCAATTTCGCTTGGACTCAACTGGCTTATGATGTTGTACTTTGGCGCAAAGCTCCGCCGATACAAGATTTGGCTGTACCCGATCATGTTCGTCCTGAACCCCTTCTTCAACTGGTTTTACATGGTTTATGGTATCTTCACGGCTGGTCAAAGGACATGGGGAGGCCCGAGAGCTGATGCTGCTACTGCCGACACCGAGACTACTGCGCAGGAGGCTATCGAGCAAGCCAAGGAAGGTGGAGACGAGCTCAACATCGTGCCCGAATCATTCATCCCTGCCGCCGAGGCCAGAAAGGAGAGTATCGCCGGCGGCAAGGGCAACATGGGCCCAATGGGTCGCAAGCACAGTGTTGTTCAGCCACCATCGCAAATCGAGGGACGCTTCGCCGCCAGAAAGAAGTCAGCTGCTGGGTTCTACGTCAACGCCGACGACTCTCAAGTCACCGTTAATCGATCCGGACCTAGTGGTTTCGGTCCGGCATGGGCTTTGCAGTCACGCGACTCATTCGATAGTATGGTGTCGTCGCAGACGGCTGGTAACTCAGTCTACATGCCTCGTCGTGTGGAGAGTATCATGGGAGAAGAGGATCGCAAGAAGTACGAGCTCGCACAGCAGAGCCAGTTCAACCAGTTTTTGTCCAACTCTAAGCGTTTTGGAGCTCAGACTACGACCACTGGCCAGGTATACGAATATTCCGACGCTGAAATGAAGCGGGGAGGATACCAAGACGCCCCGGATCCGATGGACAGAGGCCAGGAGTACACCGACAATGTCCGGATGGGCACTGTTGACAACAGCTTTTCCGGACGGCCGCAGTCTTCGGAAGGGTTGCCAAGGCAAGGAATGAGTGCTACACATTCGGCCAGAGGTGGGCGCAGTCCTCTTGCGCGTGCCAGTTTGGTTCGCACCATCCCTCTTGAAGATGTCCAGTCTGAGGGTGAAAGTTCAAGCGGAGACCGGGACAGCCGGGATCACTCGCCCAAGAGGAGACACTAGAGAAGGGAGGGGGGTCGAAGCAACGACGATGTGCGATAGAATGGATACAATTGCATGTTTTGGCGTTGAAAGGGCTCACAAAGATGAAGCAAGAGAAGGTCAAGATGCCTGACAACATTAGTTTCTGGTTTTTTTCCTTTAGTTTTTTTCCCATTTCTTTTGTACAACCCAGGCGTTGACAGTGCAAGAGCTGGCTGTAAAACACCTAGCACGGCGGACATTGGAAAGAAATATCATGTGGCCAGACAGCCAAGCCATTAGCAATAGTTACATAATGCAATGCATTTTTGAGGCATTCCTACTGTTGCAAACTGACGACATTGAGCAATGGACATTGAACCTGGCGACATTGTATTGGAAACAATATAACATTTGCAGCATGGCCTTCAACCCAAGACGTGATGGGTAATTCGTGGACTACCGATGCCATGGCATTAGCAAAAAATATCCGGTTGAGTGACCGGGTTCGTTTGCAGACTGCTGGATGCTGTGAAGTAATAACAATCAAGATCAAGATGTAGAGGGCCGGGGAAGGGCATGCATTTGGTAATCATCGCGGCATGGACACGATGTATTACCCAATAGAGGGGTATCGCCAAGATAAGATTAGATAAGTGCATGTGGACTCGGAACGATATCGTACTTGGCAATAAACCTGCAGAGACAGCGTATTGTCTGGTTGTATGTTATACAAGATCGTCTACAGTCTCACGGGAACAGCCTGACATTGACGGACATTCTTAGTCATGATGCCCAAAGTGCTCCGTATCTACACGCAGGTCGGATCTGTTTGGACAGGTTTAGTATACCAACAAACGAACAAGGACTGGGTAGGTGTTCTTGAACAAGGGTGACTTTGATTTTTGGAGGACAAAGGATGGATTGCTTGCTTCGAATCCGAGGCGGTCCACCATATTCGTACATTATACCCCCAAACTCCGTTGAGAAAGTATGTATGGCTCACTGACATGCAGAGACCAACGGCGAGCAAGTCTACCAGCCAGCCTTACCTTACACGTGGAGGTGGTTCTTCGTTGTCCGCGTTGCCTCACTTCCGCGGGAGCCAGTTGGAGTCGAGAGAGGCCACGATTGGGTGAGGGGTGGCGGGGTGGAAGGGAGATGGTGGAGGGGCAGAAAGCTGGACGGGCGACAAGAAATCCATGGTGGCAGCGGAGTGGCACGGTGACCCGAGCGAGCAGGGGTGGGTGGACCAAGGCAATTAGGAACGACAGAGAACGAAGGAGAATCTTCTTTCCCATTCGGCCTCCACTACTATTTCAGCGCCCTGACACCGTCAAAATTCCATTTGGATCCACCCATCTCAAGTCATTCCCGTCCCGCCGAGTACCTAACATTTCCTCGCCCTTCCATTTTCCGAGGAACCTTGGCTTACTCAGAGCGCACTGTCACAGCAATCCACCCTTCCAAGCAAAGAAAACGTCCACTAGAATACGCTCCAGTTACAGAGTATCGCACGCTAAACGTCGATGTCATATAGTAGGTACCCAACTTGACAGCACACACAAAATCCAACCCAACCCACCTCAGGGCAGTGTAAGGTACCGTGTCAAAAAAGGTACTTGACCGCCCTTCTTCCATCACCACCAACCCAAAGTAAACCCGGTGTGGCCACGTACCTTACCGCTACCTGGACCTCTCCCCCGGCCTTCCCTGTCTGTCCCGCCCACCTCATCCACCTCACACATTTACTGTGGCCTGCCTTACCTCAGAGTACTTACTTGGTGGACAGCCTAGCCAGACACTTCCTGGTGACGCTAGAGCGCACTGCACCTTTTTTTCCACACTCCCGCACATCCCACCTTCAGGTTCTCTTGCATATTGACAAACTCTTAAACCTTGCATTTGTCTGGACTCGACATTTTCCTCCCCCCCCAACCTTTTCGACGAGACGACCTTTCGACTCGACCGCTTGCAAATACCCTTCCCGCAAGTCGGATAATCAATCATCACTCGACCAAGACTCGAATCCCCATCAAACCTCTTTCCTCTTCTCAGAGCGTTGTTGTGAGCGCAACCCCGCTGCCATCAGAGAGTCCGCTAGACAATCCTTGTTTACAATATCCTCACAGAAAGAACACTACCACCCAACATGAGTGTCGTCGGTATGCTTGCGCCTCTCTCCCTTTCCTTGCCGACCTGCTATCTGTTGCCTCGCCGAACCGTTGCTGACTCTTGTCTTCTTTGCTTCAGGTGTTGATTTCGGAACCCTCAAGACGGTCATTGCCGTCGCCAGAAATCGCGGTGTCGATGTGGTGCGTACCCCGACCTCTCTGCCCCTCCCCCGCCAAAAAAAAAACCAGCAGAGATTTTGCGACAGAACAATGAAGACTAACGATCAAATTTAGATTTCCAACGAGGTCTCCAACCGTGCCACGCCGTATGTTCAAACCCAATATCCCCCGGCCGGCCGAAATTACACAAAGAGATGATGCAGTCAAACTAACCTTTCTACATAGGTCTGTCGTTGGATTCGGTCCCAAGTCGCGATACCTCGGCGAGAGCGCCAAGACGCAAGAAATCTCCAACCTCAAGAACACTGTCGGTTCCATCAAGCGTCTTGCCGGCCGCGCCTTCGCCGATCCCGATGCCCAGCTCGAGCAGCAGTACATTACCGCTCCCCTCGTCGATGTCAACGGCCAGGTCGGTGTCGAGGTCTCGTACCTTGGCAAGAAGGAGAAGTTCTCCAACACCCAGTTGATCTCCATGTACCTCAGCAAGATCAAGCAAACAACACAGGCTGAGCTGAAGCTTCCCGTCTCCGACTTGGTCATGAGCGTCCCCGCCTGGTTCACCGACATCCAGCGCCGCGCCATCATCGATGCTGCCGAGATCGCCGGCCTGAAGCTCCTCCGCCTCATGAACGACACTACTGCTGCCGCTCTCGGCTGGGGTATCACCAAGCTCGATCTCCCCGCCCCCGAGGAGCAGCCCCGCCGTGTTGCCTTCATCGATATCGGCCACAGCAACTACACCTGCTCCATTGTTGAGTTCAAGAAGGGTGAGCTGGCCGTCAAGGGTACCGCCTTCGACCGTCACTTTGGTGGCCGCGACTTCGACAAGGCTGTCGTCGAGCACTTGGGCAAGGAGTTCAACGGAAAGTACGGCATTGACATTCACTCCAACGGCCGCGCCATGGCCCGCACCATCGCTGCCGCCGAGAAGTGCAAGAAGATCTTGTCTGCCAACCAGCAGGCTCCTGTCAACATCGAGTCCATCATGAACGACGTCGATGTTTCTGCCATGATCACACGCCCGGAGTTCGAGGCCCTCGTCGAGCCTTTGCTTCAGCGTGTCCACGTTCCTCTCGAGCAGGCTCTTGCCGAGGCCAAGTTGACCAAGGACGACATTGACGTCATCGAGGTCATTGGTGGTGGCAGCCGTGTTCCCGCCCTCAAGGAGCGCATCCAGGCTTTCTTCGGAAAGACCCTGTCTTTCACCCTGAACCAGGACGAGGCTGTTGCCCGTGGTGCTGCCTTCAGCTGCGCTATTCTGTCCCCCGTCTTCCGTGTCCGCGACTTCACCGTCCAGGACATCATGAGCTACCCCATCGAGTTCGCCTGGGAGAAGGCTCCCGATATTCCCGATGAAGACACCAGCCTGACTGTCTTCAACCGCGGCAACGTTCTGCCGTCCACCAAGATTCTTACCTTCTACCGCAAGCAGCCCTTCGACCTCGAGGCCCGCTACGCGAAGCCCCAAGATCTCCCCGGAAAGATTAACCCGTGGATCGGTCGCTTCTCTGTCAAGGGCGTTAAGGCCGACGGCAAGGACGACTTCATGATCTGCAAGCTGAAGGCTCGTGTCAACATCCACGGTGTTCTCAACGTCGAGAGCGGCTACTACGTCGAGGACCAGGAGGTTGAGGAGGAGGTCAAGGAAGAGGAGAAGGATGGCGAGAAGAAGGACCCTGATGTGAGTGTTGCGGCGTCTCGTTACGAAACTTTTCCTTCTGCCGACGTGCTTGATAGCTTGGAGTTGCCGCTCAAACGACGGCGCCAAACTTTCGACACGGAGTCGCGTTCTGTTCCGGCCCCATCTCACGCGTTTGTCGAGGATGAAGAGATCCCGAAGCTAACAATCTACTCACCTCAAAAGGCCATGGAGACTGACAACAAGGAGGATGCTCCCAAGAAGACTCGCAAGGTAAAGAAGCAAGTCCGCAAGGGCGACCTTCCCATTGTCAGCGGCACAGCTTCCCTATCCGACTCAGCAAGAACCGCTCTTCTCGAGAAGGAGTCTGCCATGGTCATGGAGGACAAGCTTGTCGCCGACACCGAGGAGAAGAAGAACGAGCTCGAGACCTTCATCTACGACCTCCGCAACAAGCTCGACGACCAGTACGCCGACTTCGCCAGCGAAGAGGAGAAGACCAAGATTAAGGAGAAGCTCGAGGCCAGCGAGGTAAGACAGCTTCTTGAAATGCATGCGATTTGAAGTCGGCTGCTAATGTCATGTTTCAGGACTGGCTCTACGACGAGGGCGAGGACGCCACCAAGGCTGTCTACGTTGCCAAGATTGACGAGATCCGCGCCATGGCCGGACCCATTGTCCAGCGCCACTTCGAGAAGGTCGAGGAGGACCGCCGTATTGTTCAGGAGAGAGTAGAGGCTGAGAAAGCCGCCAAGCGCGCCGAAGAGGAGGCTCGCAAAGCTGCCGAAGCTGAGAAGGCTCCTCCGGCGGCTAAGGATGAGGAGATGACCGACGCCGATGCCGCAAAGGCCGATGCCGAGGCCGAGGGCACGAAATAGGATCCCGTGGACCTGACCAACGTCTGAAACTTGGAAAACAAAACAAGACAGCAAAGAACAAAAAGCGAGAAATCAACGAAGATGATAGAATAGACCCTTAGCTATGATTTCTTTCGGGTTGGCATAGGGTTATCAGGCTAGAGCAGCTTCGACGGTTATTATGCAATGAGAGAAATGACTTGAAATTTGACAATGATCCAAGGATTCCAAGTCCACGTCGTGTATTCAAAAAGCGTGTTCAATGATTCCCTGCAGTTTCATCCTCGCAAACCAGATGTGACTAGAGTTCGTGCATGTATGATCATGTTGCCTCGAGAATACAAATCACAGCACAATGAGCATCGCTTTCTCGACTTCTCGTCTCTCTCACCCGTCCGGATCGACTGGCCGCCATGGTAATATGCAGTTGATGGGACGGGGCACATACATCCTGAGGCACAGAGCATAGCAAACATACAAGTCAGAAGCCTAGATCAACATTTCTTGAATTCTTTTGCCTACTACAACTCGCGATCTTTTTTGGAGAATGACCATGGAAAACAAACATATGCCTTTTAAGGGGTGGTAAACCGCCTCATAGACAAGAAATCCACATCACGTCTTTGAAAAGAAAAACCCTCGTCATGTCCATCCCTTCATGCAGCCAGATAAAACCCACTTCCTATACCATTCTCACTCATTCCTCTCCATACTTTTCCATCTCCAACCTCTCTCTCTCTCCCTCCCCCCCTTGCCATATAGCTAAACACGGACAAGAGAGACAGACGCTTGGGAGTAAATATTGTGTAATCAGTGGATATCGAAAAGGGGCTTGAGCTTGATGATGAGCTGCCACTCGTCGTTGGAGACGTCCTTGCGGTAGAACTCCTTGAGGGTGTTGATGCTGGCGCGCGAGATGAGACTGTACAGCACGTCAGACTCCTCGAGGTGCCGACCGTATGTCGGCTGGTGGCCGCCCATTTCAATCTTGACGGCGACGGAGGGCTGTCCCTTTTTGCAAACGGGGATTTGCTTGTGGTCACGCTCGATACCGGTACTAGTAGAGCAGGTCTCGGATTAGCTTCAAATTGTTCTCATAGTTTCTTTGTCAGGTCAATGCGGGCTTATGGACTTACACTCTGCCCAAGTTGATGATTTCCTTGACACCGGTGACGGCGTTGGTCTTGACAGCTGCAATGGGCGTGTTGACCTTCAGCTGACCTTCAACGACGTCAACACCGACGACGATGGGGCCGGTCTTGTTGAAGACGGCAACCGTGTTGAGCACGCAGGGGAACACGGCCAACATCTTGGACTCTTCCTTCTTCTTCTCCAGCAGCTCGGCCATGTGCTTGGTGAAGGCATCAAACAAGTGGTAAATAATGTCCGCAGTGAAGACCTTGACGCCGACATCGTCAGCGTACTGCTGCGCCTCCTTGTCGACCTTGACGTCGAAGCAGAGCATGACGGCGTAGTCGGACGCCTTCTCCAACATGATACCAGCCTGCATGACGTCGCGCTTGTACACCGGGCCAATACCGACGTTGGCGACGGGAATCTTGCAGTCCTTGAGGAAATCCAGCAGGGCCTCAAGGGAACCGAGAGTGGACGCCTGGACGCTGACACCACGACCGGTCTTTTCGACACGGCTGAAGAGAGTCGCCAGATCGGCCTCGACCTCGTCAATGATGTCGTCCTCGTCGTCGTCGGGGCCGACGACCATCATGCGAGAACCGGCAATGGCACCCTCGAGACCAGGGGCACTGATCTTTACACCGAGAGCGGCCTTGACCTCCTTGTTGTGCACGTAGGCAGACTTGAGACGCAGCTCACGCATCGGTGCGGGCGTCAACAACGCACGAATGTTAGTGGTGATGGCACCTTCCACACCACACAACACTATTCTGTCACCCTCGCGCAGGATGCCGTTAGACAGGACAACGTCAACAGTCATACCGAAACCTTCAATGGCCTTGACCTCGAGAACAGTAGCCTGAACCTCGGAAAGGTACATCAAGGCTCCGACCATGCGCTCCTGGGTGAGCTGCACAATGAGCTTCAGCATATCGGGAATACCCTCTCCGGTGTGGGCGGAAGTAGGGATAAGCGACACGTTCTTGGCCATGGACTTGTTCTCGTAGAAGAGCTCCGCGTTGAAACCCTGCTCGGCGAAGGCGACCTTGGTCTGCTCCAGGCGGTTCTTGAACTCGTTCTGGACACCCTTAGGCTGCAACGCCAGAGACTCCTGGAAGCCGTTGTTATCGACCTTCTTCCAGCCGTACAGACGATCAATCTTGTTGAGGGCGACGACGAAAGGAGTCTTCCTGTCACGCAGCATCCTCATGGACTCCAGAGTCTGGGGCTCGAGACCGTGCATGATATCGACGACAAGAATGGCGATGTTGCAAAGGGACGAACCACGAGAGCGCAGGTTGGAGAAGGACTCGTGACCAGGGGTATCAATGACCAACAGACCGGGAACCTTGAAGTCGAAGGCGCCATCAGGATTGACGACGGCGGTCTTCGCCTTGATGGCCTCGACAGGGAAGTAGGTGGCACCAATTTGTTGAGTAATACCACCAGCTTCGCCCTCCTGCACATTGGTCTGACGAATCTTGTCGAGAAGCTTCGTCTTTCCGGTATCGACGTGACCCAGAATACAGCAAATGGGCGATCGGAGGTTGTCCTTGGATCTGGCAGCCAACGCGGCTTGATGAGCCTTCTCACGGCGCTCTGCGGCCTCCTTCTTGCGTTGGAGTTCGGCTTGACGGGCTGCTGTCTCCTTCTCATCCTCCGAGTCGGATTCAGATTCGGAGTCAGAGTCATCATCTTCATCGTCGTCCTCGTCATCATCCTCATCCTTCTTGTCGGCCTTGCCGTTAGCGGCCTTCTTCTTCTCTGCTTCTTCGTCACTGTCAGCATCCCAGCTGTCCTTGACGTCGTCTTCGTCAGAGGCGGCAGCAGCTTCCCAGTCGTCTTCCAGATCGCTTTCTGCCGCCTTCTTCTTGGCAGCAGCGGCAGCCTCGGCCTCAGCCTTCTCCTTGGCGGCCTTATCCTCGGCCTCCTTGATGAGTCGCTCAGCTTCCTTCTTAGCGCGCTCTGCAGCCTCAGCAAGGGCCTTGTCTTCGTCAATCTGTGAACCAGTATGTTAGCGACAGTCTACTGTGGGAACCCGCCCCGTCTTTGGAGCTTACCTTATCTTGCACCCTGCGGCCTCCCTTCTTCTTGTTGTCGTAAGAGACCTTCTTCTTCTCGCCCTCCTCGGACGGGCCAACCTTGATACCGGCAGCAAGCATCTGCTGGAGCTTCCGCTCGTTACGGGCCTTTTCCTCCTTCTGCGCCTTGGTCATGAACTTGCCCTCCTTCTTGAGCTGCTCAATCTTCTCCTTCTCCTTTTGCTTCTTGAGTGCCTTGGCCTCCTCTTTGCGCTTGTTCTCTTCCTCTGCGGCTTTCTCCTCCTCCGCAATTCTCTTCTTCTCGTTTTCGGCGAACTCAGCGTCCTCTTGCTGTCTGCGACGGAGCTCCTCTTGCTGCTTCTGGAGGGCGGCCAGAGCGGCGGGGATCTTCTTCTTTTTGCCACCCTTCTCCTCGGCCGGAGGGGGTGCGACGGCAGCGGCGGCGGGCGTAGGGGAATCCTTCTTCTCGGGAGCTGCCTTGACAGGCTCAGGCTTGGTAGCAGGCTTCTTCTTGGCGGCCTATGAACGGGAGGCATGGTTAGATTGATCGTATGGGTAGAAAAGGCGTTTGTGAACTCACATTTTCCTTCTTGCGCTGCTTCTCTCTCTCTTTCTTCAGCTTCTCCTTCTCGGCCTTGGTAAGGACGCGGCCGGAGTTGTCGTCGTCATTGCCAGCTGAGGCGGCGGCAGCAGCCTGCTTTCCCTTGCCACCCTTGCCCTTCTTCTCAGGCAGGGCAAACTCGTCGTCCATGGTCGCTTCTTGAGGGGCCTTCTCAGCAAGACTGGGTGAAGGTGCGTCCTCCTGCTCGGGTTCGGCGATGGGTTCCTCAATACCCTTCTTCTTTCTCTTCTCTCTGTTCTTGCGCAGAGTGGCCATGAGACCACTGACCTCCTCCTCCGCCTCACCCTCGGCTGGCTTTTCGGCATCAGCCTCGGGGGCGGCGGCGGCAGGAGCGACAGTCTCGCCGAGCTCATTCTCCCAGTCGTCGTTGGCGCGAGCCTTGTTACCCTTCTTCTTGGGAGGCATCTTGAAGGTCTTCGACGTCGGAGTCGTTAAAAGGACTTTGGAAATGTCTCAATGTAAGGATTGTGTCCAGTTTGTAGAATTAGATCAGGAAAGACCCTAAATAGTTGCCGATTGTGGGCGATCCAGCCAGTAAATGACGGCTAGAGGGACAGACGGAAATTCCCAAGGATGGGTGGGGTTTCGATGATTGGTGGTGGCACGCGAAAGAAAGAGCTCTTTCAGCGATGTAAGAGATGAGGTGGCGAAACCGAGTCCTGAATGCGATTCTGTCGGGGCCGACACGACATAATACGGACGAGGCGATGCGTCTTGTCTGGCTTCAACCGGGGGAAAGAACAGAGGTCGTTGAGAACTGGCCAAAATCTCGAGCGGGAAAACTGGAGGGCAATTCACTGCGGGGCAAAGTTCGGGTTTTGGGGCAACGTCTTGGTCGTACGGTGCACTTGGAAGTTTGATGGTGGGCAAGCCGCAAAAGCCATGGATGTCATTTGTACTAGGAGCAATGTGACGGTCGTCTTGCGGCGCCTCAGGTTGTGCAAGTGCGTTTCTACTACCCAAGTCACCTATTTCGCACCTACCTGAACTGAGGTAGGTACCGGTAAGGTTAGGTAGTTGGACCTATGATTGCTTCTTACCCGCGATTTGCACTATTTCATGACTGCTCTTTTGGCAAGCTATGACTAACTTCGTATCTGCCTAGTCTACCTCAGTTTAGAAGTGACTCTTTCAACTAAGGCAGTGAACGAGAGCTCTGCAGGATGCTACCGTACGTTCGGTGGACATAGCATGGTGATATCTCTCCTTAACTCCAGGCCAAGTGAGGCCAATTCCCAGTGAAAGAAAATGTAGGGCATCAGACAATATTTTTAGCCACTGTGCGAACAAAATTCATCGAGGTGCCGTCCACTCACATTACGCCGTTGTGCATGCTAAACGCACCAAAGCTACCCATGCTAACCCCTCCTTCTCCATAATTATGTTTCTGGGTCATGGGAAAGAGTGGGGTGGTCACTCAGACGCTTCAAAGCGCGTGAGAGCTTCACGTAGGGTAATTAGAGAGTCAGTCGCTGATAAGACTCGAGCTTACGTTGACGAGGCCAACTTTAGACTTGCCTGTCATCCAATACGATCTGTTGTAGAAAATCTCCGAGTCGTGAGTAAAGAGGTTTAAATCAAGCTTTGGTGGCCTCTCCGTGAGTGGACTCGGATTCTTTCTTGGAACCCAAGGGCGACTTTTCATCTACGTAGTCTACTGACCAGCCCTTCTCCTGGCTTTCCCTCAGTTATACATTGACAGCCTCGCTTCCCGTGAACAAAGAGTTCTTCTCTTGATCTCCCTCAAAGAACAGGGGCGAGGAAGTAATCCAAAATGTCGTAAGCCAGATCGAAATACCTCATCAGCTCAGGGTCGTTGTCTTCTTGGAAAGATGCTGTCCACTTTCCGTCATCCAACCCGTCCAGATACTCTCGTAAAAGGTCGTGGTTGCTGTCTCCCTTTATGATCGCCTGGAGAACCCGCTTGTCGATACACTGCTGGAGTAAGTCTCCATTGATGTGCCTCATCGACTTTGGCGTATCTTTCGCTTCCGCGTCGTATTCCTCGTTGTCCAGGGTGGACACTTCGTAACTGTACGGAAACAGCAGTCGGCTTCTCAGCGCTAGGTTCTCAACAAGACGCAAAAATCGCCATGTTTGAAGGTTGACTAGGCTGAAGTGCATCAATGATCCGTCAAGACAGATGCCCAACACCTCAGCACCATCTACTGTACTTGGTATACTGCCGTACCGCGGCATATGCTCCGTCGCCACCCACTCCGGCCGCACACGACCTCGCTGAAGTTTCCTGATGCTGGCGGGCAACGGCCCTTCCGCAACGAGCTCCAGCTCTCTCTTGGGCTGTTGCCAAGGGGTCCAGACCGCCGTGAAGGACCGGTCCATGCCCGTCAGCAGAGTCACTGGCCAGGCCATCTCTGAGTCTGCATCATCTCCGACATCGAAGAAGTGATTCGACTTCCGTGTCACTTGATCTGCGTGAACTTGTGTCATTTCTCCATGTGCATTCTCTGCCTTGTGGTCAATAACCACCAAAGAGTCGCTTAGAGTGAGCGCCGAGATCTTCCCATTCACCATCCGTAGTGAGATGGCAGGTGAGTTTAGCTCGTACGTCTTTTTGCGGACCAATCTCTTTTCGACGGAGTCAAGGACATCCCAGTGAAGGACTTTTCCAGTGCAATAGATGATGCTGTCGCCATCGCCAACAATGGAGTATATGGGCGCCTTCTCCTTTATCCTGTATTTGGTGGAGAACCGAATCCTCGATTTCCTATTGCCCTCAGGATCACGACTCTCTTCCTTCTTCGAAGACACAAGTAGGAGGCGTCCGCCTGCCGTCGTGACGATAAGGTAGTGAAATGTCATGCCGTCTTTGATGAAAAGCCAGTCGTAAACTGCGTGGATTTTGTCGTCTTGGCTTCCCAAGCCGCTGATGAATGTTGTTGCATTCCCGTGCTTGTCTTGCGGAAGGGAGATGTCTTCTCCGGTCTCGGGGTCCAAGAAAAGAACCGTTGGCTTCTTGTCGATCTGCACTGCAACTACTAAACACTGCAGAGTTTGAGAGTATAGCACCTTGGCAGGTGTTCCGGGCAGTGGTAGTGTCTTGGGCACCGGCCCAGGTTGCAAATACAGCTCTACGAACGACATGCGCTCTCCTGACAGAAGGACCAGTGGTGCGCGGTTGTTGCCGCCCAAATCGGCGGGAATGCATGCGGCAGAGATGATAGGCATCGATGGAGTTGCCGGGTGCTTTAAGTCGGTTGTCCATACCCGATGCTTCGTGGCAAAATGACCTGGCCGTCTGGCCTCAAAATCCCTGAGAAGCAGAAGGCTGTCATTGCAACAAACCAGTACCGAGCCAGGAAGTAGCGGCGTTGCTAGAGGCACAACTTCGAGTGCGACTGTCCCCAATCTCTCCTTGAAAGTCCGATATTGGAAGGGTTTCGCAGTGAGTTGGACTGTGATTAGATGCCCGCTTCGGGTACCCACGACTACGCTTGTTTGCTCCGCTGATTCCGCTACTGGCACGATGGTGGTGACCAACTCGATCGTTGGGGTAATATCCATTGCATCAATGTCTTCCGCATCATGAGCCTCTTCGTCTACGGCAACTTGTTAGATCAAGCGCTCCAAAGTCTTGCAGGATAGGACGTACCCATGGTAAGCCGTATCAACTCCGGCTCCTCTCCCGATACGTCTGTCGGGAAAACGGCCAAATAGGGGCTGTTTTGTCGCCAAAGCCCAGCCAGTACACATTCTCGTCCATCCAGGGAACAGAGAGCCAGACACGTAACTTCGCCATCGACAGGGTAAGTTTGTGTAAGGGATGTTTCCGTCCCGTTCGTGCGGAAAGTGTGTATTCGGAAGCGAGATTCTTCAAAGGTGGAAACGCAGATACAACTGTCTCTGACGGCTGCATGTTCACCTAACCTGCCCACGCCCTCAAAATCACCTAGCTCATATCTTGAACTATCAGAACGTTAGCAAAGCCGGAGTGGCACGTGGAGGCCGAAATTCCGGGGAACAAACCTATGGTGCTCGTTGATAGTGATGATGCGCTTCTCGGACACCTGAATAATCGTACTGTCTCGGCTTTGCTCCGCTGCCAGAGTTCGAGACTCTGTGTCAAACTGGGATGTCATTGGATCGGCCATCTCCGCGTGTGATAGATCAAATGATACTAGCAACACGTCAGAATTCCCGGGGCTTGCCATCAGCATCTGATACGGCCAAATTGCGTCTGTAGTTCTGAAAACCCAAACTTTTCTTGTCGGTAGCGGCTCGAAATAGGATATAATATTAGCAGGGAGTCCATAGCGAAGCTCTGTTATGCTGCCCTGCGGTCCGTTCCCGGACGCGCAAAGGATTTTGTCTGGGGCTGTTAAATGGTCCAACGTTCTGTCTCGCCATGGCACGATGGATTTTCCCTTAGAGCCGATCTCAGGATCCCACGATGTTAGAGCATCTGTAGTGACGAAATCAACCGAGCATGACCAGTTTGGGATACTCCCAAGCTCGACGAGAGGTTCTCGAGGTTTGAGCTGCGGAATTATGTTAGCAGCTACCCGGTAAACAACACAGCATTGTGACTTGCCTGAAAGACCATACCGGGGCCAGAATCACCTGCGACAATGGCCACGTCGGAGTAAGCATCATACATTGTGGTGAAGGCGGTCGAAATATTGCAGTTGCAGCTGCCGACATTCATGGCAGCGCCTAGGATATCCGTCGTATTGAACTCGAAGAAGACAATCACGCCGTCCTCTCGAGCTAAGTAGATCAGATCTTTTGTGTCGTAGTATCGCCGCCTCCTGACTGGTCTATCCCAAGCTGTCCAAAGAGGTACACCAGTACCGTGATGAAAAGGGCTCGCGGGATGGCTGATTGGATTGATTGTTTCAATATCAGGGGGTCCTTGCAGAGGGTCTTTGCATATACCAAGGGCGTGTTCGGAAACTGCAAAAAAGGAACTCCTCACTGTCAAAGGAATGATGAGAAGAGGGAGGCGATGCTCCGGTGCTATGCGATGGCCACGTTTTTCTTCAGCCAACACTTGGCCAAGGTCGTCCCCGCGCTCCCATTCATATATGACCATCTTCGACCTGTCGGCCTTTGCGATAATGAGAAGGAGAATGACGTGGTTTTCGTCCTCGGGACGAGGCCACAGGAATTCCATCTTGAGGATGGTACCTTGGACTGCTCTTGGGTGATGCGCCCTGACTGGTTTGAAGGGCTTATTGAGTGTGAACTGGTCGCCCATTGCCTCCATGGACTCTAGCTCGTAAACGACGAATTTGTTCTGGGCGTCCGCAACTGCGATATAGCGAGACCTGGGGTCGACAGCTACGTGAAAACCCAAGTGGCCTAGTCTCCTTGCTGGGTTGTGGAACGGCGATGTGACGAACTCCAGGATGCCTGTGGTAGCATCTCTTCTGATGAAGAGGAAAACAAACGAACCTGATTCGAGGATAAGGAGCAACAAGTGTGGCGGAAACTGTCCATGGGAACTACTAATGCCAGATGCAGAGCCAACGTCGGCCATTTGGGTGTCGTCGTCTTCGTCTTCGCTTTTTATGTGATCATGACCAGGGTCGTCTGGGACAACGCGGAAGTGCTCGTACTTGTTTCCAATAACAAGGGCATTTCGGATGCGACAGCCAAAGTCGTTCTTCCGCAGCACCTCCTGAAGCTGTCCGTCCTTGCGCAACTCATTGACGCTCACATAACGGTCCTATCTATGTAAGCTTCTTCACATAATGTTCTGGACAGAATGTGTGAGGGGGAAGGGCTGCGAGGCTTGAGATATCGGATATGCAAGCCTCCAGGAAGCTTGAGAAAGAGAATGAGTGACTCACCCCAACGAAGGCAACATCATTGTGGTGTGCAGACCTCAGACGAGCAGGTAAGACCCATCGAGCAATAGGGCTTTCGATGACAGTTCTCGTCAAGATACCACAGCTTGGCGGGGCGGGGAGTGAAGGAGCGACAGCGGAGGTGGTTGTGGTTGAGCCCCTCAGAACAGTTTGGAGGTCAATAGTCTCCGTCACCCAAGCACCGTTTCTGAAGACGTTTGTCTGGAAAGCCATTTCGACAGGTCTTGTTATGTCAACATGGTTGACAGTTGAGTGAGCTTCTGTAGTAATGGGTTGAAGAGAGGCCGAGAGAGGTGAAATTGAAGCAGAGGTATTTCGGGATTGCGGCGGGGGATATGGGAACCAGATTGCCGGGTCGCGTGATTCGAAATTCCAAACCGATCAGACTGTATGACGGACCTGAAGTTTTGTCTCCGATTCAGGGCCACTGGAATGGCAAGTAGCGGCCGTACGACGTAAATGCGACTGGGTGGGCGCTATCTGCTGAGGAACAATGTGAGGCAAGGAGACAGGTAGGCAACGGCGCCATGGAATGAATGGCTCCAGGTTGTGAGGGTTGGGCGGAGTAGAGGTTGGTTTTAGAGTCAGTCGTGCTGGGTGTAAGGCGAGGTACATTGGATGTTAGCTAGCTGGTGGGGCACCACGTTGCATGGAGCATTTGGAGCATTGGAGCACGAGCTTACCTGAGAGAAACCACCACCACCACCTCAGTGTCCCAAGTGAGGGCTTTCCAACGGAAGGCAGTCGTATGCAAGTAGCCAATAGTTGCAAGGCACCTCGCATTACCCTTTCCGTCAGTGCCTACCTTGTGAACGGTACATAAACACATTGGCAAGCAAGGTAAAGTAAGTGGAGGTACATCGTACTTGCTACGTAGGGACGTAGGTAGACACGGCAGGTACAGTAAGCCTAGGTGTGCAGTACGTGATGTGAGGCGGCAGGCACATCGGATCCAATATGTGTAGGCGTGAGCAACACACGGCGGTGGGACAGAGGTGGTTGGCTGCCATACCAAAAAGATCATACATGATACTAACTATCAATGATCAAAGACAGAAAGAGATGTCATCCCAGCTCTACTTCGTACACAATAAAGGTACTTTATTTCACATCCCTTGTCCAGTTCGATCTAGGGGGCGTAAAACTAAGAATGCCACTCCGAAGCAGCAAGAACCCCAGCAACCCGAGTTACCTGGTATGCAATCATCATCAATTACAGCGTATTACACCCATGCGAAGGCAGGACAAGTGTATCCCGCCTTCCCTTGTGGCGCTTGGAGGGATCCAAGAGAACCCGATCTGTTGGCGTTGTGGCGCGCTGGACCCTGATTCATCTTAAACCTTTCACAGTATCTCAAAGTGGGGTACCCTAGAATATCCCAAGAATGCGGCTTGTTGAATTCGCGGGAAATACCATTCTCGGCCGAGGTAGCTGGGCTGTGTCTTGGGTTGTGTCTCGACCACTGCGTATGATTTGCACCTCAGCCGGACTCTATCCACTGTGACGGGACTTCGGTCAATAGGGCGATGGAACGTCGGTGGTGAGCTGGCCGGCCATGTGCCTAAGCCGTTGCTGACTTGCTGAAGCATCGTGCATGGGCGAGGTATCCATCGTGTTCCTTGCCTAGGCGGGCAGCCAAGCCATAGGTAGAGAGTCCTGGCTAAGCGGGGACTTGTTCTCGGTAGGCTGATAGGTTGCCTCAATAGCCTTGTCGCCTGCGATAAAAGTTAACTGGCTCAAGGTGCTTGATCGCCTACAGTAAGTACCTAGTGAGATCATGGTGCGCGAGCAGCTCAACTTAGCAGGAATGCTAGGGACCGGATGACACTGACGGTTGCTGAAGAAATCGACTTCATCCGCCGTTGTTGTCCCATCTTGCCATCCTATATCCAGTGTCCAATAGAAGATGAGGTTGGTTCAATACTCATCAATCAAAGGCAGTCTAGGCCTCCATCTACATGGTTGTGCCAACGAGGTACCTTACCCTACGTGCCTACAGTTTGAGGGCACGTCCCGGCGCGAAAAGAAGAAAGCTGGAATGAACCGCGTCTTGCTGATTGGGTAGACGAATGGCCTTTCCTCAAGACGTTGCTGCCCTACCCAGCTGAAACCATTACTTGCCCCTGGGGTAGGAAGGCAATTGGATGTCTTCTTTCCATTAGTGTGGGTGTAAGTCCCACATACGGATAGCTACACCAACCACCATGAACTTCCATACCCTATACCAGTGTGAACAGTTGCATCGCTGGATTCCAAGATGCCCGGCCGGCCATTTCCGCTGCGGGTTCGGATGCCTCCACTGTCTTACCCGCCGTTTCCCTCGGGCACTGTTTATTAATGTTGACGTCTCCTCACGCAAGCAGGGCCTTGCTGAAGTCTCTTTTCCCCTGCCCTCATACACCAAATGTCCAAGTCAACACAGTAAGTCTGATATGATCTAAGGACAAGTCTTTTTCCTTGACTAACAGCCTAATAGAGCCCTCCTCACGAGTGCCGACTGGTACTAGATGAGAAATCAGTGCGGATCGGTTAAAACATGGACCAGGGCTCGTGTGCGGGTCTGGAATACTCCAGAAAAGCAGGGGGCAGAAAACGACCACCCAGGGGTTCTATTGCCATGGTTATTTATTCTACTCTGTATACTACGTAAGTTGTCTGTCGCGGGACGTACCGGGCAAGTCAAGATACCAAATGACCTGCTAGATGTGCCTTTCATATTGTACTAGGTAGTCACGTAGTCTCAGTATGAGAGCGAAGCTTGAGGCATGTCTGAATCTCCACTTCTTGGTTAGGTACGTTGCAAGGATGTTGAATCTGTCAAGAGAAACCGTCTCACTCATGGGCTATTATTGCCAGATCCTGTCAACAATGAATCTTAGACATTGCCCAACGCAATCCAGGTTGCGGCATATCCCAACTCGCCGACCTCTATCGGCTCTGAGCACGACTGCCTGGCTCGAATAGTCCCTCGCTTGGAAAGGATCATGTTCATGCATGGCAGAGCCAGTGTCTCTCTTCTCCTATAGACCAATCCTATAACCAAAGAAACACGTTGAGTCAACGGAGTTGCCGGTTCGGCCGCAGCGCAACCGACAAGACAACTAACTGACATCAATTGCATGTCGATTTCATTAAAGAACCGCCCTTACGTACTCAATTTACCGAGACCATTATGCATGTCTGGCTTGGGCTGTCTCGGCTAGGCACTGGCTGAGTCGAGTTGCAGGGTTCAGGAAGAGGACGCCTGGTCCGGTGGTTGGCAATGAACGCATCTTCAGAGACTAGGATTGCTCTAACGACCGTTACTTCCCTCCGTTGACGGCTTTCTCCAAGCGCATCAAGCGGGAGTGGCTTAGGGTATGTAATTGCGAGTAGCACCTTCATCCGAGCTATGCTCAGAGACCACCGGGGCAAGAAGAGCCCAACAATCCACCTCACACCTGACAAACTGAAATCCTCGCATCGGAAAAGCGGCCTTACGATCTCAGAAAAGTGACCTCCATACTAGGTAGATGGGCAGGCACTATGTCGACGAACCTGTCTCACGGATCGACGTGGGGTGGCGTAGTATGGTTGGCGAGTTGTGCAACCGCCATAAATGGTGACCTGCATGGTGCGCAGCCGATGCCGGGCGTGAAGTCATGTAAACACTCTCATGAATAGGTGAGCCGCTTTTCTGAGCCGAGCTTTACACATGATCACCCCCAAAAAATATCGGCCCGGATTCCTGCCTCTCTTTGGCAAAAACCTGAAGCTGGACAGCGTAATATGAAAGTGGTGTCTAAGAGCTTTAATAACATCCACGGCGCAGGTTCACCATATCTGGCCCGTGCGTCCCGTCCCGGCGATCAAGGCCATGGGGGCCGGGTGTCCCTGGGCAAGTTGCTCTGAACGTACGCTAAGCCTTGGCGTCAATGGTTCGAAACAGATCTAAAGATCCGCTGTGGAGGAAACTCCGCTATTACCTGGCTTGTCACATTTGTGGCAGCTCTTGGACCTACAGCTTCCCTGTTCCTACAACCAACGACTAGTCTTCGCCGGCAGGTTGAGTACGTGTGTAATGCATCCCACTTCAACCTCTGCTTCATGTTGTTGAAGCCGTGTCCGATAGCCACTTCACCACTCAGGATTTCATGGGCTTCCTCGGCTCAAACTAGCGTCCGCAACGTAAGGCGATAGCGACGCGCGCATAACCTCTCCTGAGCTCGCAACCACACGATGCGCACGATCCCGTGACGAGCACACCCCCTCGACTCCAGCGACGCCCTGTGACGCTACCTTGCTTGCTACGACACAGTGGTCATGGAAAAGAATTCGATCAACGAACAGAATGCTCTGGGCAGCTCTGACTCTGCGGCCCCCGTAGACCAGGAACAGCGCAAGACGGTCAATATCCTCGAGGCGTGCAAATGGCGGAACATAGAAGACCTCAAAGGCTTGGCCAGTACTAGAGGCGGGTTTCTTACCGACACCCTACGCCGTAAAGCCTGTCAGTAGAACGTGCCAACAACGGCGCTGTCGTTCTACGATGCTCCGAGGCTAACGGAACATTGTGTATGTAGGGCCTATACTCTTAGGTCTCCCAGACAGTGAGGATTTCCAGGATACAATCGCAGCTGGTATAGACGAGAAGGTCTCATGGAAAACCCTTCCAAGTCATAGAGACGAGGAACAAGTTGCGCTCGACGTTAACCGCGCCTTCATCTACTACCCGAATCGTGAGACCATTCCTTCGTGCGATCCCCTGAAGGAGGGTTGCGAACTCGCGCACAAGCAAGCTAACCAATCCCGCGTATAGATCAGAACGACACCGAACTCGAGAAGAACAAAAGCGAGCTATCCGATCTTATTGTCGAAGTCCTCCGTCGATACCCATACCTATGCTATTTCCAAGGCTACCATGACATTTGCCAAGTCTTCATGCTGGTCCTCGAGCCCCCATGGCGCGCCCGCCTGGTCTCGCGACTCTCAGTGCTCCGCATACGAGACTTCATGCTCACCAATCTCGAGCCGACCATTGCACAACTCAGGCTGATCCCCGATATTCTCAGCGCCGCCGACCCGAAGCTTAAGCGCCACCTCTCTGGCACGGAGCCCTTCTACGCTCTGGCGGGGACCCTGACCATGTACGCGCACGACATCCAGGCCTACGGCGACATCGCCCGCCTCTTTGATACTCTCCTCACCCGCGAACCCGTCTTCAGCATCTATA